CCGGATTAATACCCTGTTGACGTAGGCACTTAAATCTTTTGTCTTGCCCATTCACCCTCTGAATAGCACACATACACAATCCATGTCTCAATTGTCTCAAGGCTTAAAAATCCTTCTTTAAACTGTCTCCTCACTTCATCTACACTGATTTGAATGGATTTAACAGTGACACTTTTCATCAGCAATAAATTCCAAAATGTCAAGCGTATTTTCTGCTGGTGGTATTTAATTGCAAAATATGTAATTTCAATTGTTTACACAACCTATCAACCAACCTGTCAACCTTGGAGTGTTTCCATCAGTAAAACACCAGAACATTTTGAAGAACCATAGTAATTTTGATCTACTGTAAGTCTGTACACTAAAGAAGCGTTGCTCTTTTACGTTTGATCCAATACTTTAGATAATGCCCGGTGTTACTGGTCTTGCAGTTAGGGAGCGTGCTTTATGATGTCCTGGCTTCAATGTTTACTCCAGGGATATTCGTAGCATGTGTAATATGACCATGTTGTCTGTCAGGGCCACGTCCCCCTTGAAGCTCTTTTTAGTCACGTTAGTTCCTTCCTCAACATGATTCAAATGCTTGCATCAACATAAAGATGTCATTGTGAAATGTACATTTGTAAATTCAGCCTATGGTAAAGCTATACCACTTACTATATGTAACAAAGACTCACATGCCAAACTTCACACCTGCATACAGGTCTGCAAATACTTTACAACAGCTTTAAAAATCTTCAGAAAAAAAATGTACTTGTTTTTTTCATTACCTTTTATTGTTTTATGTAACATATATTAATAAACACAGCGGTTATAATTAAATGACTACCCAAATTTAAATCAATAATATCTCAACGCCTAATTTGTTTACTCATGTTCTGTGTACTGATACTGTAGGTAACACGTGTGACACAAACTGTTCAGGACAGCGGAGGGGAGCTCTGGTAGAGGAAGGTACAGTTCAACAGGTTGGCCTACGCAACAATGTTATCTGATGTTCAACTGATGGCTATGTGCTGACCAAAAGGGTTATGCTCGGTCAGTCAGGTCACAAGGTTGAGTCATGGCCTATGACCTCTGAAGTGTCAGGATTCACATTCCAGTGAAGGAGGTTGTTCCCATTTCTTCTGATTGCACAACATCAGTGTGCGCTGATGTTCAAACCACCTGCTGGAGAAATACAGGAAAAGTCCTACATTCTCTACAAAAATGGCACTGATCCTATAATAAATAGCTTTTCAGTGAGAATTATATACGTTGGGTATTATATAAAAAACACAATTGGAAAAATAAAACCAAAAAAGTGTGGACAATGAACAAAACTAACATTGATAACAGTGGTTTCAAAGAAAGTCTCACCATATTGACATGTTAAAAAGATAGGCTGCGATTCAATCAGATCAAGGGTTAACCCGCGTTGGCCGTAACTGCAGTGTGAGTTGACAAATCGGAGAGCGGCTGCTCGTGTGTTCAAAATGGCGATAGAAAGTGTTGCTCTATCGATGACAGAGATGATGACAGGCTAATGCATGTTGTCATGTTCATTTGGATGGGGGGATTTATAGCCTATTGGCCATGTAGACAGTAGCCTAGAACAGGGATGGGCCAACTTTAATGGGGGTGGGGGCCACAAAAATCTGAACTCATCACGAGGGGGCTCCCCCCCACCATGCGAGCATGACATTTTAGCGGCCCACCTCTACACATTTAGCCATTTGGTGGAGAGAAATATTTGCATATATGATATCTGAGTGAGAGTGACGAACAAAATCAGTGGGCCCCCCCCGGTCGGTAATTCAACCATGACTAATTTACCAATCTAAAAAGAAATAGTGGACATGGGTTAATTGAGTGACTCAGTGACTGACATAACAGAGATAATCTGCTGATGTACAACCAAATTTCAAAATTGCACCTTGTGTAGTACTCTACTATTCTAACTCTCAACAGTAGGTGGAGACTCCCAAAAAAATGTAGGGGGTATGGGATTTGTCTGATATAAAGCCAGGTGTGGTTTCGTTGCATCCGATGGCAGTGTCTACGATAATTTAATGCAAGGAGCCGCTTCTGGATTTGAGAGCTCTAACGCAGTTCCATCTCCGACATCGTCAAAACTGCTATACGGATGTCATCTACCGCAGATCTTATAGAACCTAGCCCTAAGCAAAATTGCTAATTCATTTTTCACAGAAAAGAAAGAACTCAACAATGTACATTGTTTGTAATGAGAATATGTTAACTATTAGAACAACTAAACTGGAGAATAATCATAAGACACTGGTTTCTAATGAGTTGAGAATGCCAGATGGACCCCTTAAATTATTCAAATTGAGTGGTTTTCTCCCTTTCCAGAGATTTTTCACGGCAATAGAGTACAAAGCTTTCTACCCAAATGGAAAAAAACGTATTAAGTAACTTGCTGCTCCTCTGCTATCCCACCTGGATATCAAGTTGATCCCTAATTTATCTACAAATCTGGGCAGGAAATCATGTCAGAGTGCCACTGACAAGTTGCCCTGAGCCTGCAGAGAAAACGAATGGGGACAAGTGTTTCTATAGTCAGTTATTTGAGTTTGGACATGTCTACCGGTACATTATAAACAGTGTTAAATGTGTGTAAAAAAAAAAATATTCACCCATATTTGACATTTCATGGGGATATGGGGTCATCAAGAGAGTCAACATGACATGATGAGAATGATTTGTAAATTCCAAAGAAATCCCTTTTTACAGCTGAAATACAACTCATATTATAAAGAAAAAAGTATGTTCTATGAACCAATGACAGCAAAACAATAGCCATTCAGTTAAAGCAGTAGTAGATCAAGAAGTGTTTGCTTAAGTAGTATTATCAGATAAATGGACACCATAAACCCTTTAAAATCTGACCACAGACCACCGTAGTTCTTTAAAGACAAAAAGTCACTTTCTCTTCAGTGCTTGTGAACTAGTGGTCCATTCAGTCTGTTATCAGAGTTTTTAATTGAAATATTCTTCTTGCCAGGACTGTCAGCCTGACTGCTCTCCATCATCACTGCTCAAAGATCCACAGGACGTTCTCGGTAGGCTGCACCATCAATCTGACTGGATGAACCATCTAGAAGGAAATCAATTCCATAATATGTTAAACAACTACATTGCACATGTATGCACCTTGTATGGTAATAAAAAGTACTGTATTTGGTCCCAACTCACCCGTTGAATGCACAGGTTAAACTTCTGTTGATTTTCCTATAGCAACCATTTCTTTGCCCTGTGAGGAAGGTATTGGCTGTCAGTTTTCTTTGATCTTTATAGAGATTAAATATTCAAAATGTAACTAAAATTATCAATTTGAAAATGTTCAGTATAATTATTATGAAGGTTTACTATTAGGTCCAATTACTGGCTTGATCACATCATTTCACCACACCTTTTGGAGGCTCTGAAGAGCAGCCAGCGCTGGTGGTTTGGGAGCAATGGAGGGCTTCTTCCTGATGGTGGCAGGTGAGCTGTTCTTCCTGAGATTGGGTGCTGCTGTTCTCTGGGTGACACAGGACTGGGAACTCTGGGACGTGACAGATGACAAGTCCTCCACCTCTCCACCAATGGCAGAGAGGCAGCTGCGCTCCAAGCTGCTGAACACACTGCCACTCTCACCTGACGACTCCGTGCTGTCCACTGGAATCAACAGAAAGGTAAGTAGATATGGCATCACCCACGTTTAGTCACATGCTTGCACATATCAAGAGTCATGTTCTGTATGTCTGATTGTGTTAGTCTGTAGTCTTGCACCATGCATAGGGCCCTGTGTTTTGGTTAATCATGTCACATGACCTGGATTTTAACCTTTATTTAAAGCTTTTTCATCATACTGTCCCCTTTTCTTTTTATGTCAGGTGGTCCAGCACCATCCTCAGACAATTGCTTTAATTTGTTGGTCTAATTCTCATTTCTGGAAAATACTTAAAACAAAGGTTAAAATCCAGGTAATGGACATGATTAGCCAAAACACAGGGCCCTAATGCAAGAACAAGAAAACTCACTGAGAAGATTAAGGTTTTGTTTCTGGTGATTATGATGGTTATTGAGGTCATCTTCAGTCACCGTCACAGTCTCCGGGGAGGAATAGACAATGTGATCGGTTTCCCCACCTTGTGTCTGGTTACCAGGGTAACCAACAGGAGGTAAAGAACCTTGTCCAGAGGAAAAAGATGAGTGGCTGCAGGAGGCACTACTGCCTGAACCAATGGAGTTGGGCCGGAGATATTCAAGATCTGTTTGTGGAAAAGACGGCACAGGAGCTGACAAAGCAAAGAGACAATTCAGTCAGTGAGTACATTACACATTTGTGTTGTCAGTTCATGGGTATGGGACTTGGGTCTTGGCTGTGGACTTGTTACCTCTTCCTAGCAGAACACAGTTGACGACCCTGTCACCGACGTCTGCCCTGTCCCAATTGACAGCCCTGTCACCGACGTCTGCCCTGTCCCAATTGACAGCCCTGTCACAGATGGCTGCCTCGCTAGGCTGTATGTCCATGAAAGGTTTCCTCCCCATGCCCATGAACACTCTCTCCTGTATCCGCAGCTCTACAACACACGAAACACAACACCTGTCTTCATGCTCAAACATACTGAACCAAAACATAAATTGGATGTATTTAACGTCTGATATGGCATTTGTTCACAATTGCACCTCCACGGGGGTTCCCAAACTTTTTCGCTCAGGCTCCCCTTCCAGCATTGGGGAACATCCCCAACGTGGCGCCCCCCTGTGAGCACCATGTCTATTTCTATGGACACAAGCACTGTTCATGACACAAACTGTTCACACCCCTCTTGTTGGCAGAGAGAAAAATGTGCAGGTTTAAAGCTTATTTCCTGCAATTCTACACATTTTGTCATGGTGTGCAGAGCAAATTGTGTAGTTTGAAAGCACATTTTCTTGCAATTCTATACATTTTGCCATGTCTAATGTTTATTCATATGATATTTGAGTGACTCAAACATTACAAGAAAATGTATGGGCTAAGAAACCTAGCTAAAGAACATTAGCTGACATGGGCTAGTTGATCTGGACATTTATAAATAGCTCTCTAAGGTATGCAATGACCGACATGACAAGAGGAAAAGTGATGATGCACTACTCAAGTTCGAAATTGCACCTTGTGCATTCTATTATTACAACTTTCAAGATTAAGTTGAAAGCTGGACTGAGTTCCCCCCCCAAAACTAGGATTCACCTCTGCTGTTGGCAGCTTGTTCCCAGAGGATCTGCTCCAGGTCTCTGGCCCAGGCCCTTTTCACCTCCGCCCTGTCAGCCTTCAGAGTGTACGTGTCCTGGAACTTCCTCCTCCGGAACCAGATCTCAAAACAGAAACCACTCTCTCCAGAGTTATGGGTCATCCCGATATCAGATGTCTAGACAGAAACAGAAGTGAAAGAAAGACTAAAGAAAGAAAGACTAAATAAAGAATGCTTGCTGTTTCCAATTTCAACATAAGGGCTGGATGATTTGGTCTTTGTTTAGCAAACATAAAGGCTGGTAAGATAGCATTATTTTTGTTGAACAATAATTACAGTACTCAAAATGCATTCTGTAAATTGGGTCTGTTTTTTTTAAATAATACTGTATACACACCTTGAAAGAATGTTTGTAGATGTACACATCATTGCCCACATTGGTCTTCTTGGTCTTGCTGAAGAGGATGAGATCCTGGAAGAGGAAAATACGACGGAAGCATTTCTTCTTTCTGAAGAACACGGTGAACTCATCCTGGCGAATCAGCTGGCCCTGTTCCTTCAGATTCACCTGGTGGCGGAGGGAGGAGTGGAGAATAATGTATTCCTGAAAATGCTTGATACTGTACATACAATAATGGGTGATCATTTCCCACTTATACTCCCACATCTACGCCCCATTTGGACAGCTGTTCATAAGTGATACATTATTTGGAGATTGAGATGATTTGGACGGTAAACTTACGTCACAGTCCTGGATGGCGTCCATGGTGAGGAGGTCATTGCCATGACGCATCTGGAAGCGGACCACGTCGGCTGCAGCCTGGAGTTCTTCCCTGTCTCTCTGAGGCCCACACATCCCCAGCATGTCTTGCAGCAGCAGGCTGTACTTACTGATCCTCTGGATGGGCCTCAGCAGGTAGGAGGACAGGTCCATGTGGTCCCCCAGCTCCTGCTGCTTCCTCTGGGATGGGAGGAGAGGAGACAGAGGATTGGTCGCAGTAGGGATGGAGAGAGCTTTGATAGGAATTGAGCATTGATCTTTGACATTGAGCATTGACGGGAGTGCCTCACCTTGAAGATGTCATGGCGATGGTGAAGGATTAAGGCATCTGATTGAGGCTTGTTCTTGCTGTAGAGTGCATAGAGGCCTAAACTGTCTCTCTGCATATATGGGGAAGAGTTTACAGTCACAACAGGAATATTAAATGTATTCAACTTCAGTAGCAAATTCAGCTAATCAACATAGTTATAGGACTCAAACTTAACATGTAGAAAATGTGAATTAAGAGACATGAGCAGGCAAACTGAAACTCACGTGTCTCAGGAAGCAGCGAGCCACTTGTAAGGGCTCTGTCTGACAGGCATCCAGCTCTCTGAGGAAGAAATGGCAGTGGAAGTCATACAGCTTCTCCAGGTTCCCAAAGATGACTCCACGTTTGCCCCGCAAGTCCTGGGGCACATCAGGCCTCTCCAGCAGGGGGAGGTAGTGAGTTAGGATGTAACCCAGGGAGCGCACATACTCCCTCTCTGTTAACAGTAGCTCCACCATGATCCGTTGCAGCTTCCTACAGACATATAAAGTTATATCAACAACACAGCCAAACACAAACTCTCATGTTCAGTCCTCTGGAAATAACTGAAAATCAATAATTGAAATGTACCTTTGTCAATATAGTGCAAGCTTAGAGACAGAAAGAGTAGATGAAGCAAAAGTGAAAACACATTGAGTCAATCTAAGGTGAAGGTCTTGCTCCATTAGTAACTCACAAAACATGGCCAGCCTTCTCCTCTGGACTTGCCAACGATGTTGTTCCCTCACACCTCCTCACTGCTGGGCTAGTATTCCTTGAAGAGGCCCACTCTGCCCCCTCTTGGACACTACAGGATTCCTCTGAGCAGAAGCTGCCATGCCGTGAGATCTGGAACTTCTGAGCGGCCTGCAGGATCCGACAGGAGGGTTGCTTGTGGGAGCAGGAAGGTGTATGGACGCGAGTCTCAGACTGACTGGACGCGGCGGTCGCACACGACTCCTCGCTCATGGACCGGCCCAGACCCCCGCGTTGCCACGGGAACCACTCACAGCCCAAAGTGTGCGAGTCGGCAAGGGTGGCGGCCTCTCTGCTCCTCCCTCGGCAGGCCTCTCTCCCGCTGGGCTCCCTCTCCGCTCTCCTAATGTATCTGATATGGGGAGAGGCCGGCATGGTGGTGATCTTTGACCATTTACAAGGTCTGTTATTCTCAGGCTTGAAGTTGATATTACAGCAGGTCACAGAGTTGTTCCTGCTCTCCAAGGCCCCATGATACCTACCCACCATAGAGCCTGATGGGGGATTGTACCAGAGTGGTGGACCAGGTCTGGGCAGTAACAGAGCTCCATCATGATGAGTCACTGTCTGAACCGAGGCCTCATCCTCACCAGCTCTAAGTTGTTCATGCCAGGGGCCTGTGTTCCGCAAGGCCCTCTCCACATCCTGCAGTCTCTCCTCCAGCTGCTGCCTGACCTCCTGACACTTTAGCCAGGCTACGTTCCACACCCGCATGCCCCTGGAGCCCCTCAAAGCACACGCCTGGGCCTTCACCTCCTGGAAGAGCTCTGGGGAGAAATGGACAAAGCTCTCCTGGTACATCTGGAGTGTAGAGACATCATCCGTCTCTGGGCGCTTGACAACCTGGTCCAGGTATTGTCTGCAGTCTTTGGCCAGCTCAGTAGCCTGGAAGAAAAGAAAAATACTTATTCAAAATAGAGTGGCTGCAGAGCCGACTTTTCCGGACCTTTCTTCCCGACAGCTAAAAGTCCCGAAACGTCTGCGCATGTGTGAGATTCTCTACTTAATGCACAGGCTACTCTGGTGAATGGTGCTTGTTTAAAGGGAACCTTTGTGAGTTTGGCAATGAACCCATTTATCTACTTCCCCAGAGTCAGATGAACTCGTGGATACCATTTATTTGTCTCTGTGTCCAGTATGAAGGAAGTTGGAGGTAGTTTCGTGAGCCAATGCTAACTAGCATTAGCGCAATGACTGCATGCTAGCAGATACCCATAGACTTCCAGTCATTGCGCTAACACTAGTTAGGAAGTTTGAACTTCCTTCAAACTGCACGCAGAGACATAAAAATGGTATCCACGAGTTCATCTGATTCTGCGGAAGTAGATAAGGGGCAAAATCCCGAAGTATACTTTTAATAAAGTTTGATCAAAGCTGAATCAATGTCTGCAAGATCACATAATGATAGTATTGTAACGGCCCGGTATTGTGTTCTGTGTTCGTGGGTGTGTTATTGTTCTCATGGGTGCTAGCAGGGGTTAAATATGCCAGGTTGGGGGGTATGACGGGTAATCCCGCTGGGTTTTATATGCATAAATAGGGGCTACTGTCTCATCTCTCTCTCTCTTTCTATTCGGGATCCTGATCTGCTCCTATGAGTCTGCCACTTAACTTTACATTGTGTATTTGTGTACATTCAGAATTTAGCGGCGTGGGCAGTGGCCTGAACAATAGCCCAGTTTAGGAATAAACCTGTGTTCTGCCCATCACACCTGGTGTCCGTCTCTTTTTCCTTCATGACCCAGCCCGGGTCATTACAGTATTCTACATAACAAAACCAAATATAATAGCATAACGTTGCTACTGTAAGACAAAAAACACTTCTTATGAGATTTTAGGATGATTGAGATTAAATGGTCATATTTTTCTTTCATGTGGCCAAAACTCAACAACGCGCGGCACCAGGCAAAATATGTGCTTTGATTGAAACTAAATACAGGTAGGCTATGCCTCGCTCACTGAACATAATTCAAAACAACAGTGTAGGCTACTTCGAAATTGTAGCCTATAACTCAAGAAGATCTAAATGCATATCCCCATGAAACTGATTGAGATCAAATGGTTGATATGTAGATGCTGCATGGCCGTAAAACTAGAATTATCATTCACGATTAACAGTGAGAAATGGGAGGTTCTCTAGGAGTAGAGCAGAGAAAGTAGAGAATCCCGCACGTGGGCAGAAGCTATGGGACCTGTAGCTGTCGGGAAGAAAGGTCCAGAAAAGTCGGATCCGCAGCCTCAGCCTATTCAAAAACCTTGAAAGAGACACAGAGTTGACAGTAATTCAAGCTTCATCATTTTCCCCTATATCCCTACAACATGTCACCATCAGTATGAATTTTATAACATGTTGTAGGTAAAATGTTAACTAAACAACGTGGAACAACAACCGATCCATTATTCAGTATAGACACCAACCTGTTCACAGAAGTTGCACACAGTGACCATAATCTCCAGCTCATTACAGCACCTCTCTGCCCGGGAGAGGAAGTCAGCCAGGCCAGATTTGAAGGTGCAGACCATGGTCCTGAACACCTCAGTCTCAGGGAATGGGCCCTGGATCTTCTCTGCCTCTGTCACCAGGGCCATTGCCTTGTGCTTCTGCTCCTAATGGACAGTAACAGTAAACATCAGATTAAATTGAAACATGGACTTTCATGGGCACTTCCATTTCTGCATGAAACAGTGTCACCACTTTGCGTCATTGGGTAAGTGGAGATAGACTGACTTACATTGGCTTCAGTGAGGCATGCACTGAAACTATGGAGAGTCTGCTCCACACTTTCTCTGGAGTCCTCCACCGATTCTGCCTCCAACAACCGCCGTTCCCCTTCTGTATCAAACCATTCCCTGATCTACAGAAGGGAGGGTGGTTACTAAATATCCCATGTATTTACATAATAGATATAAACTATGTATACTGTATGAGGAGCCTCAGAATGTACCTTAGTGAAGTGGCCCTCCATTTCTCTGAGTTGGAGCAGGTATTCAAGGTGCTCCAGGGACATGTTGGATCTTTGCACAAGCATATGGGCCTGCTCCTCTACATGGTTGTACATGCAGGTCACAGAATCCACCGCATCACTGCACAGAGCGGTCAGAGGTCAAGGGAATATTACATTGATAAGCATATTTTGAAGAAGACTCACAATTATCCCACTCAAACTAAACAGTGACCGGTAGTATACCTGTAATTCTCACAGTGAGAGTATCTGAGGTCACTCTCCTTTCTCAGCCTGGCCAGCATGGCTCCACCCTCCCTTTGCAAAGCGACCAATCGGCTGTCCTCCAGAACATCCTTCATCAGAGTTCTCTGTTCTAGAATACACCTCTGTGCATCCTGCCACACAGGGAGAGAAAGTATTGAGGATAATAAGAACCCCTAGTCCATTCCAACATGTTTTCAATAATACAGTGTCGTCAAGGTTAAATCCAATACCTGCACTGTGTCAATCTTACAGCCTCCCTCTAGTTTCCTGATGGCCGTTAGTAGCAAACCTGAGGCCTCCTGGAGATCTGACATAAAGGGATGAAGTTTCTGAAAGATAAATGTTCTGATCATCAGACATCAAAGCAGAACAACAAACAAGAGTTCTGTAGTGTCTGTTAAAAGGCTGTTGCATACTATCCAGTCAAAATGTTGTGCCATTTTTGTTCTTTTTTTCTTTTTTTTGTTCACACACAGAATTTATTTTCTAAAGGCAAGTTGAAGTTTGGTAGCCGAAGTCTACTTTAGTCAAATGTATAACCTATCAGCCCCTTTGTCGTGATTGGTCAACTGATCATTTTTCAAGGGAAGGTCTCCAAGGGAGTTCGAGATCACAGTCGTGTGCGCTTACGCCTAGACGAGTTCTGCTAGGAACAAACAGAACCTCATCTGCAGTCGCTTTTCTGCTCTAACTGTCCTACCTGATGGAGCTGCAGCCAGTCAATGTGGTTGTAGGGAAGGGTGCCCTCTAGGCCTGAGGTCAGCTGGCTCCCCTCCACCAGCTTGTGCAACCCCTTCAGTGAGGTCACCACAGCAATCTATTTATAGATAGATAATGGCACAGTCAGTGACATCAGAGAGCAAGCCACCCAGAATGAATGCAAGTGTTTATGAAATGATAAGCCTGATGGAAATCATTAGAGGAAACCCTTGATTCAGATCTGACCTGTAGTCTAGGACATTTCTCTGGGCGATGGCAGCTCTCCTTCTCCACTAGGATCAAGACACTGTGTATTGCATGGGGAATCTGCTCCTGTAACATAATCAAAATAGGAGACGTCACAACAATAAATAGGTATGAGTAAATACAGTAGCCTATAACTGCAGGTAAAACTGAGCACAATCAGGGGAGTAAAGACAAGAATAAACAGAGGGAAAAGTTTAGTTGAGTTCAGTAGAGGACATATGAATACAAAAATAATTCCCTCGTTATGTCGAGATCACAACTTATTTATCTCATGATCACTACTGTCATGAGCCTCTCACTCCACCGGGTTACCACCTTAATTTTCTGCCACTCTGCTCACCACTCTCTCTACTCAGCCTAACTAGCTCCACCTGTCCCTGCTCTGCTCTGCTCTAATTACTCTGCCAGCTGCGCTGCATTACCCACTACCTCTCCCAGTATTTAAGGCCCGGTCTTTCAGCTCTCCGGTGTCAGATCGTCTGCAAAGCTCACACCCGGAACCTGTTTGCTCGCGCTTCTGGCTCACCCTGGTTTTGTGACCCCGGACCTGCCTGATTTTTGGATACTCTTCTGCCCCAGGAGATCCAGACCTGCTTCTGCCATAACGACTCCTGACTACTCTTCAATCCCGGTAACTCTGACCAGCCTTCTGCCTTGCTACTACGTATTTTGGATTTCCCTTGAACTGTACTGCTGCCTTGTTTCATTCCGCCCTGTTGTGTCTGTGTCTCCCCCCCCCCAGGACTTCTGGACCACCCACCACCGGCTTCATAGGACGCATCGCTGCCACTGGGGGGGGCACAGACCCAGCTCATTGGACGGGATCCCTGTTACCCCTGGAGCCTTCATTCACTCCCTACTTCCCTTTTCCCTTAAGTTTTAATAAACTTTCTGGTGTGACGCAATTGTGGTCCTCTGGTCGTCTGTCTGAACCCTGACAGTACGATCTGACCATTATGGACTCAGCGCACACTTTCCCCGACATGGAAACCGATGAGCATGAGCAGCAGTTCCAGCAGCAGCAACAACAACTCGCCATGATCATTCAACTCCTCACCAACCTTACCCCAGCCAGTCTGCCCACCAGCCCTGCCCCCGAGTTACCTGCCCCGGTCATTGCAGCCGCTGCTCCGGAACCCAAGATTGGAAACCCCGAGCGGTTCAACGGCGACTCAACCCAGGTCCGGCCATTCCTGACTAGCTGCCGACTTCAGTTCTCCTTGCAGCCAAGGACCTTCGCCACGGAGGGGGCTAAAGTTGGGTATGCCATCACTCACCTGACGGGCCGAGCTCGACTCTGGGGAACAGCAGAGTTCGAACGTCAAACCCCCGCATGTGCAACCTTCGACCTGTTTGCTGAGGAGATGCTGAAGGTGTTTGACCTGGATTCACCAACCGCAGAGGCGTCTCGTGAACTGTTCAGTATTCGACAAGGCAGACGTACAGTCGCAGACCATTCCATCGACTTCCGAACCCTGGCTAGACGAAGTTCTTGGAACACACCATCGTTGGTGGACGCGTTCTTCCATAGTTTGGCTGACTATATCAAGGACGAGTTGGTCTCCCATGAACTGCCTTCCACTCTTGATGAAGCCATCGCACTGACTGTCAGGATCGACAGAAGGATACAGACCCGTCGTCGTGAGAGGGGGCGCCAAGTTCCACCTACTACCGGCATTCGGAGAGATCCGACTGGGCTCCTGTCATCTACTGCCACTCACCCAGGTCAGCTTGATCAGTCTGAGCCTATGGAGATTGGGCGAGCCTCTCTCACTCCTGCAGAGCGCCAGCGCCGCTTCACCTCAAACCTCTGCCTCTATTGTGGAGGTGATGGACATCGTGTGGTAACCTGCCCTTTAAAGGGCCGAAGCTCACCGGGCATAGGGGGAGTCCGGTTGAGTTCAATGACCATCCAGTCCTCCGACCGCAAACCCCTGCTGCAAGTTCACCTCCGCCTCTCTGACTCAACTCACACCCTGGCTGCTCTGGTGGATTCTGGCGCCGAAGCCAACATAATGGACATCAAGCTGGCACGCCAACTGGGACTGGAGAACCTCCGTTTGACACCTCCTATTCCTGCCCGGGCACTGGACGGACACTTACTCGGATCGGTCACTCACGTCACGGCCCCGGTCTCGATGGGTCTGTCCGGAAACCATCAAGAAACTATCCAGTTTCACCTGCTCCCCTCTCCAGGCCAACCCCTCATCCTGGGTTACCCATGGCTCCGCCGGCACAACCCTCAGCTCGACTGGGTGACCGGGGTGATCAGGGAGTGGGGAGAGGACTGCCACCGTACCTGCCTGCTTGCTGCCGCACTACCCCCCTCGGCCAGTACCTACTAACTCCGCTCCTGACCTCTCCAATGTCCCAGAATGCTACCATGGTCTCAGAGAGGTGTTTAACAAAGCAAGAGCCACATCTCTGCCCCCTCACCGACCGTACGACTGTGCCATCGACCTCCTCCCTGGAACAGCCCCTCCAAAGGGTCGTCTTTATTCGTTGTCTGCTCCTGAAAGAAAGTCCATGGAGGACTACATCAATGGCTCTCTGTCCGCAGGATTAATCCGTTCATCTTCATCTCCTGCTGGTGCTGGCTTCTTCTTTGTGGGGAAGAAGGACGGATCTCTTCGCCCCTGCATCGACTACAGGGGACTCAACGACATCACAGTGAAAAACCGTTACCCTCTGCCTCTGCTCACCTCTGCTTTTGAGTTGCTCCAGGGAGCCACTGTTTTTACCAAGTTGGATCTCAGAAACGCTTACCACCTAGTGCGGATCCGGGAGGGAGATGAATGGAAAACCGCATTCAATACACCAACAGGCCACTACGAGTATCTGGTTATGCCTTTTGGCCTCACCAATGCTCCTGCTGTGTTCCAGGCTCTAGTGAATGATGTACTGCGGGACATGTTAAACAAGTTTGTCTTCGTTTACCTGGATGACATCTTAATCTACTCCAGAAACCTGTCTGAACACACCCGCCATGTCCAGCAAGTCCTTCATCGTCTTCTGGAGAATTCCCTCTACGCCAAGGCAGAGAAATGTGAGTTTCACGTCAAGACAGTGGCCTTCCTGGGGTACATAGTGGCAGAGGGAAGTATCCAAATGGATCCTGCCAAAGTATCAGCAGTCACTTCATGGCCAGTTCCGGAGAACAGAAAGAAGCTGCAACAGTTTCTGGGGTTTGCTAACTTCTACAGAAAGTTTATCCGGAACTACAGTACCGTTGCTGCCCCTCTCACTGCTCTAACCAGCACCAAGCAACCCTTCACCTGGACCCCAGCAGCCGACAAAGCCTTCAGTACCCTCAAGGTGAGGTTCACCTCCGCTCCCATCCTCCAGATGCCTGATGTGGACCGGCAATTCATTGTGGAGGTGGACGCCTCGGATGTGGGAGTTGGTGCTGTGATTTCTCAGTGGGCTGCGGAGGATAGGAAGCTCCATCCCTGTGCCTTTTTCTCACGTCGGTTGTCCCCCTCTGAGTGCAATTACGACATAGGGAACCGTGAGCTGCTGGCTGTGAAGCTTGCCTTGGAGGAGTGGCGTCACTGGCTGGAGGGGTCCACCATTCCATTTCTCGTTTGGACCGATCATAAGAACTTGGAGTACATCCGCACGGCCAAACGGTTGAACTCCAGGCAGTCCCGCTGGGCCCTGTTCTTCACCAGGTTTAATTTCACTCTGTCATACCGGCCTGGATCACGCAACACCAAGCCAGACGCCCTCTCCCGTCAATTCCAGAAGGATGACACCCCCTCCAAGGACCCTGTGTCGATTCTGCCAAGTCCCTGCATCGTTGCAGCTCTGACCTGGGCTGTTGAGGAACAGGTGCTGGAGGCTCTCCGTAACCAGCCAGGTCCCAGCACTTGCCCAGCTGACCGCCTTTTTGTCCCCGAAGACCTGAGGTCCCAGGTCGTTCAGTGGGGACATGACTCCCGCCTAGCTTGTCACCCTGGCTCCACCCGCACTTACAACCTGCTCGCCCAGAGGTTCTGGTGGCCCTCTCTGAGAAAGGATGTACGGGAATTCGTCCAAGCCTGCCCCATCTGCAACCAACACAAGTCGTCCTGCCAGCCCCCAGCCGGATTGCTGCAGCCCCTGCCTGTGCCCAGACGTCCCTGGTCTCACATCGCCCTTGACTTTGTCACGGGGCTGCCCCCTTCAAGTGGCATGACCGTCATTCTCACCATAGTTGACCGTTTCAGCAAGATGGCACACTTCATTCCCCTCCCCAAGCTCCCTACCGCCAAGGAGACCGCCCAGGTGGTCCTGGAACACGTCTTCCGGATCCACGGACTGCCAAAGGATGTAGTTTCTGACCGTGGTCCACAATTCTCCTCCGCTTTTTGGAAGGAGTTCTGTCACCTGCTGGGAGCCACAGTCCGTCTGACTTCCGGATTCCATCCCCAATCCAATGGGCAGTCAGAGCGGGCTAATCAGGAGCTCGAGAAGGCACTGCGATGCATGACTTCACGCAACCCCCACTCCTGGTCGCAGCAATTGACATGGGTGGAGTACGCACACAATTCTCTGACCTGCTCTGCCATCGGTATGTCCCCTTTCCAATGTGTTTATGGATACCAGCCTCCTCTATTTGCCAGCCAGGAAGAGGAGGTTACTTGCCCATCTGCACTTGCTTTTGCCCGTCGATGTCGCCGCACCTGGTCACAAGCCCGAGCCACACTCCTCAGATCCGTTGCCAGCTACACTACCGGGGCCAACCGTCGGAGAATTCCTGCTCCCACCTACCATGTTGGTCAAAGGGTGTGGTTGTCATCGAAGAACCTGCCACTCAGGGTGGAGTCGCAGAAGCTGGCACCTCGGTTCATTGGCCCATTCCCTATCATAAGAGTGATTAGCCCAACTGCTGTCCGGCTCCAACTGCCTAATTCCCTGAGGGTGCACCCCACTTTCCATGTGTCTAAGATTAAGCCCATCCATGAGAGTCCGCTGGTCCCTGCTGCGCCTTGTCCTCCTCCTCCACGGCTCGTCGATGGTGGTCTGGTTTACACCGTCCGCCGCCTGCTTCGGTCCAGACGGAGGGGTAGGGGTCTCCAGTACCTCATTGACTGGGAGGGCTATGGACCTGAGGAAAGGACCTGGGTGCCAGCTAGTCGGATTGTGGATAGGACTCTCATCACCGCTTTCCACCAACGGCATCCTGATCAACCTGCAATCCGTAGGGGCCGCCCCAGAGGGGTCCCTAACCGTCCTGCCCGCTCGGCTTCCTGTCCTGTGCCTGATCCTGGCTCGGGACCTGTCCCATCTCCCGACCACGGCCCTCCGGCTTCCTCCGAGGATGAGGACGTTCACTCGGACCGTTCGGAGGAGTTCTAGCCCTCCTCCGGCTCCCCTCCTCCCGCCCGGCGTGGTGTTGCTCTTGGGACTTCTGGGGCCGTCCCTTGGGGGGGGGGTTCTGTCATGAGCCTCTCACTCCACCGGGTTACCACCTTAATTTTCTGCCACTCTGCTCACCACTCTCTCTACTCAGCCTAACTAGCTCCACCTGTCCCTGCTCTGCTCTGCTCTAATTACTCTGCCAGCTGCGCTGCATTACCCACTACCTCTCCCAGTATTTAAGGCCCGGTCTTTCAGCTCTCCGGTGTCAGATCGTCTGCAAAGCTCACACCCGGAACCTGTTTGCTCGCGCTTCTGGCTCACCCTGGTTTTGTGACCCCGGACCTGCCTGATTTTTGGATACTCTTCTGCCCCAGGAGATCCAGACCTGCTTCTGCCATAACGACTTCTGACTACTCTTCAATCCCGGTAACTCTGACCAGCCTTCTGCCTTGCTACTACGTATTTTGGATTTCCCTTGAACTGTACTGCTGCCTTGTTTCATTCCGCCCTGTTGTGTCTGTGTCTCCCCCCCCCAGGACTTCTGGACCACCCACCACCGGCTTCATAGGACGCATCGCTGCCACTGGGGGGGGCACAGACCCAGCTCATTGGACGGGATCCCTGTTACCCCTGGAGCCTTCATTCACTCCCTACTTCCCTTTTCCCTTAAGTTTTAATAAACTTTCTGGTGTGACGCAATTGTGGTCCTCTGGTCGTCTGTCTGAACCCTGACAACTACATAACAAAAGTTGTTTTGTCGAGATCACAATAATTTTCTCATGATCACGACACAGCAAAAGTTGTTTTGTCAAGATCACAAGAAATTCTATAAATAGGAGTGGATGTATTGATGATAGATTGCCAGTATGGCTGAGGCAGCTGGATCAGCTCATACGTTTCTATTGATTGCTACACTAAGGGATGGTACATTTCATGCTAACATCATGCTTTCATTTGTGTTTGGAGCTTATTATCAGTATAGAAGTTAGAATGTTAGCAAGCTAAATGTCCCTTACCTTGAGCCAAAAGCTCGTGGGGGAGCTAAACCCTCATGAAGCATTTAAGCCCTAAACGATGCCTGACTGGTAGGCCTGTATGCCACTCCCAGGCAACAACACAGCTAACTTGGCTAGTCTTGTGAGTGAGTGAGTGCCAGCTAGCTAGCTAGTTAGCTAGGTAGTCTTGTTAGCTAGATAGCTAACTAGCTTGTTAACTATGCTGGTTGTTGGCTTGCATAACTGATATGTGTATAATTGTAAGGGACACTTAATGTTTTATGGATAATATTTACATTTACAGAGTATGTGTATCCATTGCTGACAGGCTGATCAGATTCAATAGCAGCCTCAAAGGCTGATAAATCAGGATTCTGCCTTGGAGGCTGTCTGCAAGGAGCCTTAAATATGAAACAGCCTACAAGGCTGCAGTCTGATTGATCAGCTTCTGAGGCTGCTATTGAATCTGATCAGCCTGTCAGGAATGGAACTCACCCACTGTAAATGTAAATATTATCCACAAAACATGAAGTGTTCCTTATAATTATAAAGATATCAGTTATGCAAGCTAACAACAAGCATAGATAACACGCTAGCTTGCTAGCTAGCTAGCTAACAAGACTACCTAGATAACTAGCTAGCTCACCAGACTAGCCAAGTTAGCTGTGCTGTTCCTTGCATGCGATTGGCTGTGGTCTTGGGGGCAGCACGCAGCCTGGGAGACATGCCCCATGTGCATCTGAACAAATTAATGGATGATGTGTGGTACTTTTGATTATCTTGTGATCTCGACAAAACAACTGAGATAAATAAGTTGTGATCTCGACATAGCGAGGGAATAATTATTTAGATAGCTGCTACCCTCTTGTGGTGATGTTGTGTAGTGCTGATTCCAAAATGACGAGGAAGATGTCAAGTCTTCTTACCTGAACCACCAACAAGGCCTTATTGAACTGTGGTGGAGGTGAACTCTTACGAGCATCAATAACTAGTGTCATTCCAAGTTCTCTTAGTTCTCTCCTAGAAATTATGAAGATGAAAACAATGAATTAAGAATACAATCCAGTGGTTCAGGCTACAGAAGAGAGGGACCAGCCCAGGGGGTATCATACATACCTGATTACAGAGTGGAGGTAGAGCAGAAGTTTGCAGAGTTCCAGACTAGACACTAAAGGAGATCTCCATCCTTCCTGGTCTCCGTACACCTCAACCACCAACCGACCTGTCCTGTCTCTGCCACCTGAGTATGGGAAAGGGGAACATGAGGATCTGATACACTTTCCCTGGACAGATATCATACACCTCTGTCTCTGAGGCAAACCATGTAAGGGGGGTTTCCATACCAGTAAGACATGCTACTCCCATCTGGAGGTGGTGAGTGCTGGGTTCTGCTGAGGCTGGTAACTGGACCTTAGACCTGGGCACAGCATAGTGACCCAGGGGCTGCTGGGTAATTTCAAGTGGAGGGGCCGGTGGAGGGGTCTGGTGTCCGTTTGTAAAGGGTATGGAGGGTTGGCCAGCTTTGGAGACATCTTTAGGAAGGAGGGATGATACAGAGGGATGTGATATATTTCATATACTACAGAATAACAAAAAGATGTCATGCTGTAGACCTCTTACCTTGGTTGGGCAGTCTCCGCCTGTTAATCTTTGGGGAAACCAGTCCAAAAGCTGTGGCATTTTTACATTTCACTACATGTAAGCTGGGAATCATCTTTGTAGGTAAGTCAATGTCCCTCCTACTTTTTCTTCCTTGTATCACAACTTCACACTTCTCTGATATGTCCACAATAGTGGTCGACAGTGAGGAGGGACATCTCCCATCATCCTCTATAGTGTCATTCAGGCTTTGTAAAATTCCACTGGATTTGGTGGTCATTTCTGTAGACTCCCTAGTGTCACATAGGCCTTGCAAAACTCCACTGGATATAGTGTTACTTTCTCCAGACTTCCAACAGGGAACCGTGCTAATAGGGGGAGTCTGGTCATGGTGACCTGGGTCTGGATGGCAGCACTGCTGGGAGGGACCAGGACATAGTTCTTTACCCTCTGGTCCCAGCCTCCCCTCACATGGACTAGCCTCCTGCAGAACCACCAGTGTATTCAGTCCATTGTCACGCTCAAAGGTAATAGGGTTCTGCAGTGCTGAATGGTAAGACTCTCTGTACCAGCACCTGAGTTCCTGTGCTTTGGACACCTGGCCCATTCTCCTCCTCATGCAAGGGGTGCAGGGGGGGTCCTCGGAGAACCGGACGGTCCGGCCGCAGTGTGACAGTTCCCTGAGGGGCTGGTGGGGGGCTGGGGCCAAGGCTGGGGGCAGGGCTGGAGCCGGAGGAACACCAGGCCTGTTGAGGGTAACAGGCCTAAACATGGGCGCTCTGGGGTGTGTGTGACTGTGAGCCCCACTGAGAAGCAACGCTTCTTTCTCCTTAGTGAACTCCACCAAGTCTATATATTCCCCCTCAACCTCAGAGATGTTGTTGCTGCGGCTGTCCCATGTGTTGGGAGACACCCAGCCTATGGGCTTAGCCACAGGCCAATCCTGATCCACCTTAACCAACCTGGAGCAGTTACTGTCCACCAGACGCAGCGACACCGCAATGCCATGTTTAGCAGGAGAGATCCTTGTCTCAACAGAGTACCCAGAGGCAGGGGGAGGCAGCACCAATGAGGGCCCTGGCCTTGCCACTTTCTCCTGTTGAGCAGCAGCAGGGTCAGGAGACGACAAGGCCATAGTTCTGGGTTTATCCACAAACTCAGGTAGAGCCACCTGTGCCCATGGCACCTTCACCATGCCCTGGTCTGTGGAGAGGATACATTGGCTGAGAAGGGTGCCATGGCGGCCACGGTTGAGCTCTCCCAGCCAGTCCTCAGTGAAGATGCAAGGGTAGGAGGTCTCAGGGATGGGTGTCTCCTCCACCTCCCGACCCTGTCCCTCCTCCTCCCACAGCAGGCTCCGGACCACGATGCGGGCGGACTGTTCAGAGAAGGGTGCCACCTGTAGGTAGAAGTCCCCTGGGCGCAGCAATAGGGGGTTGATGGAGGCCAGCTGGATCACCACCTTCTCACGTAGACACAGAGGCCAGCCCTCACAGAGGAACACCACATCAGAGTACTGGGCCTGACGAGAGAAAATGACAAACATTTCTTTACCATTTAATTTGTCTTTATACTTAGCATTACTTAGCAAGCTTTGTAATTGAGGTAACTTTGTTTGGTATAGGTGGTATTTATTTGAGCCTGTATGCCTGTATATAATGTGTATGGTGAACTGTTATGTCTTTTTTGTATAGCATCTGTGTTGATGTGTATATCTCTGAGGCTGTTGACTCACACAGGCAGCCTGCTGAACACTCTCAAGGATGTGTTTGGCTGGAATGAGGAAGTCCAGCAGACACTGGAGGGCGTCTCCTTGGTAACGTTCCTCTATGACCTGGAAGAGCTGGCTCAGGACGGTGGGGGCTGTGGCCTCGAAGGGAGGATAGAGGGCTGAGAGGGTGTTCTGGATGGACCTGTCCAGAGACTCAGGGTTCTATTAACAGAAGAGACAGGCCTGAGGTCAGCACAAACAAAAGTTAAAATATTCAAAAGTTTTTTTGCCCAAGAAAAGATGGAGATAAAGATTAGATACAGGCAGGAGTTGTTTCTCACATACATAGGCTACGGTACATTTGCAGTTCTGCATCCCTTCAAAAACGCTCAATTGACATCCATTAGGTCATAAAACACACAATCACCATTGTCTGCTATCCTTTGATCCTGGCATCCCTCAGTATGTTTCCAGTAAGATCTCAGACAAACGCCACCTTTTTCCTTCTTCCTTCATACAGAACAATCCATAACTGTTCACCAGAGACAGATGTTGACAACACAAGGACAAAGTTGCTGTGGATGTCAGAGTTGCTACAGTATCACGCAGCATATGGGCAGATACCAAGCATCCATAAACAGACTGGGGGTCTCTGCTAGAGGAGAGGCCTGGTTTATGGTTTCACATTCTCTCTGACCTCCTCCACTTTTAGGCCCTGCTTAATTTAGCTTTGTGAAAGCCATGCGTCTGCTGTGGGAGGAAAATGTATATGTGAATGTTTCTCGTCTCAATGGAGAGCCTCTGTAGGAGGAGACATGTTTCTATGGTCTGGTGCAATGTGGTTACCATGCCTTGCCAAGCTACATAGACTGATTTCAATATAATTGCAGGGATATTATGACTGGCAAATGTTACTAGACACCACCCTCTTTATTGTTCAATTATATTTCAACACATTGTGAATTAGAATAAATATACAAAATGGAGTAATGAAGCCATTTCTATCAACAATACATATTTTTCCTCAATGGGAAAATACGTTGCCTCCTTGCTCACAGTGCTTGATGAGTTTGTTTTGAATGGAGAAATACCACTGTGATGATTCCACAGATGATTCCACAGAACTCAGTGTATCCCAGCCCTGGTGTGGAGATGGAGGGAGAGTCTGGGCGTATCAGGTCGTGATCAGAATGATCCCTTTGGACCTTGTCTGGCTGACTAGCCTACTTCCTTGACTAGCCTACTTCCTGTCCAGCTCTCAGTTATTACTCCATCTGCTAGTCTATGGTGGACAGGAGAAAAACCTAGAACTTCACTAATCTCTGCACCCAGTAACCAAATCTGCACACTGGCTACTCAATTTGTACACTTTTATGTAACAGTCTGACACAAGAGACTAGCCCTCCTCTAAAACCCTCTCCTAAATCTCTAGAATTCTCAGGACCATTTCCGCAAATAACCTTGATCTCTCCAAAGACAGCAACCATCATTACACCTCTTGCATGACTAGGCCACCACAGTTCAGACCGTTCCCCAGCAAAATGCAGAGGAGGTGGGATATTTATTTTTTATCATTTAGCAGACGCTCTTATCCAGGGCGACTTACAGGAGCAATTAGGGTTAAGTGCCTTGCTCAAGGGCACATCGACAGATTTTTCACCTAGTCGGCTCGGGGATTAGAACCAGCGACCTTTCGGTTACTGGCACAACGCTCTTACCCACTAAGCTACCTGCCTATCACACTGTACTGGGGTCCCCTGTATCCAGTGGTGGGCTCATAAGTATTTAGAATCGAGAATGTTGTGGAGATACAGTACATGTGGGATTTTCATCTTATAAATGTTTGGATCATTGTCTTGGAAAAGCTGTGTTCCTCCTGAAGGTGATAGAAACACCTGCTTCATGGTCCAGGGAGTTTCTATGAAAGATGTGTTATGTTCTTCATAGCCTGAATCTGTGGTATCCGACTGGGCAAAAACTGGTTGAATCAACATTGTTTCCACATCATTTCAACCCAAAAATTATATTTGATGACGTTGAATTAACGTGGAAAACTGATTGGACTGGCAAAAAGTAATCAACGTCAGGGAACTTTCGTCTTTTTTTCACCCAGCTTTTAACCTAAATCGAATGACAAGGTGACATTTTTGGTTGATTTCACGTAAAATTCACGTTAGTTTACAACTCAACCAAATGTAAATCAAAACTAGATGTTGAACTGACATCTGTGCCCAGTGGGATCTGATGCAGGGTTGGGCCTGATGTTGGGTCAATAGAAAATCAGATCCTGGGCTGACCCATTGGAACATGCCTGTGACCTGAAAACACATTTCCAGCACCTGTAGGGGCTTCTGAATGAAGCCCTTATGTTATGTCATACTATGGTTGAATGCTTCTTGATCTCTGCACATAAAATAGCACTGCAGGGCACGTTACTTATCAAGGCATGATAACAAGCTCTAAGGAAAGCATGACAGGTCACTGCTGGTTTGAAATGAAAAAAGATTAGAGCATCCAAGGGTTTGCAATGTGGGAAAGTGGCATTAGCAGGGCTAGCAGGGTCATGACTCACGGTTACTGTTATGTCTGAGCAACAAGAGAGCACCCTGTGGGTGTAAACAGCAAGCCTGCCTAACCGTCTACTGCTGAGTGCTGACATTCTGCTGAAGAAACACTGGGGACTAAATAAATACACATCCCTCACACTCGGTCACTAAAATAAATGTCTTGTCTCAGATTGCAGTTTATTGCATTAGGATATCACAGTGGGGCTTGAGTATATTCAGATATTTCAGTTTAACATTTCTCTTCACTTAAAAGCTAACCCAAACAATTCCTTCTAAGCCGGTGGCAGAAAGGACTTTGAAGTATCTCCAAGTATTTCGGTATGAATTATCTTGTATACATAATGTCTGGGAGAAATATTATGTACAGTGGGGAAAGAAATTATTTAGTCAGCCACCAATTGTGCAAGTTCTCCCACTTAAAAAGATGAGAGAGGCCTGTAATTTTCATCATAGGTACACGTCAACTATGACAGACAAAATGAGAAAATTTTTTTCCAGAAAATCACATTGTATGATTTTTAATGAATTTATTTGCAAATTATGGTGGAAAATAAGTATTTGGTCAATAACAAAAGTTTCTCAATACTTTGTTATATACCCTTTGTTGGGAATGACACAGGTCAAACGTTTTCTGTAAGTCTTCACAAGGTTTTCACACACTGTTGCTGGTATTTTGGCCCATTCCTCCATGCAGATCTCCTCTAGAGCAGTGATGTTTTGGGGCTGTCGCTGGGCAACACGGACTTTCAACTCCCTCCAAAGATTTTCTATGGGGTTGAGATCTGGAGACTGGCTAGGCCACTCCAGGACCTTGAAATGCTTCTTACGAAGCCACTCCTTCGTTGCACGGGCGGTGTGTTTGGGATCATTGTCATGCTGAAAGACCCAGCCACGTTTCATCTTCAATGCCCTTGCTGATGGAAGGAGGTTTTCACTCAAAATCTCACGATACATGGCCCCATTCATTCTTTCCTTTACATGGATCAGTCGTCCTGGTCCCTTTGCAGAAAAACAGCCCCAAAGCATGATGTTTCCACCCCCATGCTTCACTGTAGGTATGGTGTTCTTTGGATGCAACTCAGCATTCTTTGTCCTCCAAACACGACGAGTTGAGTTTTTACCAAAAAGTTATATTTTGGTTTCATCTGACCATATGACATTCTCCCAATCCTCTTCTGGATCATCCAAATGCACTCTAGCAAACTTCAGACGGGCCTGGACATGTACTGGCTTAAGCAGGGGGACACATCTGTCACTGCAGGATTTGAGTCCCTGGCGGCGTAGTGTGTTACTGATGGTAGGCTTTGTTACTTTGGTCCCAGCTCTCTGCAGGTCATTCACTAGGTCCCCCCGTGTGGTTCTGGGATTTTTGCTCACCGTTCTTGTGATCATTTTGACCCCACGGGGTTAGATCTTGCGTGGAGCCCCAGATTGAGGGAGATTATCAGTGGTCTTGTATGTCTTCCATTTCCTAATAATTGCTCCCACAGTTGATTTCTTCAAACCAAGCTGCTTACCTATTGCAGATTCAGTCTTCCCAGCCTGGTGCAGGTCTACAATTTTGTTTCTGGTGTCCTTTGACAGCTCTTTGGTCTTGGCCATAGTGGAGTTTGGAGTGTGACTGTTTGAGGTTGTGGACAGGTGTCTTTTATACTGATAACAAGTTCAAACAGGTGCCATTAATACAGGTAACAAGTGGAGGACAGAGGAGCCTCTTAAAGAAGAAGTTACAGGTCTGTGAGAGCCAGAAATCTTGCTTGTTTGTAGATGACCAAATACTTATTTTCCACCATAATTTGCAAATAAATTCATTAAAAATCCTACAGTGTGATTTTCTGGATAATTTTTTCTCAATTTGTCTGTCATAGTTGACGTGTACCTATGATGCAAATTACAGGCCTCTCTCATCTTTTTAAGTGGGAGAACTTGCACAATTGGTGGCTGACTAAATACTTTTTTTCCCCACTGTATAATAGCGAGCCCATGGATGATGCTATTTAGCAGAGCATCTGAGCCATTTCTGACACCAACCTGTGTTTATGTCTGTTTTTTAAAATGTTCAACAAATCAGGTGTAGATAATATGTCTGGATTCTCCCAGACCAGACCAACTATCTTTGTGACGTCTGAGCGACATCACAAAGATGTCTGAGCGACACCACCCCCAGGATGACCGTCCACACATCCTTCTCAGTGATTCTCCGGGGCAGACAGGCACAGTTGACCAAGCTAGCCTATTAACAATCTAAGAGATCACAAACACACAAAATTAATGATGAACTGTAATGGCAGCTTGACCAATAGAGGGTTGCTATAGCATCCGTCCCTGTGTATCTCTGGTATCCTACATTCTGGTACATTATTCACGTTTCTATTCAACATTTTAGTAAGTGGGTTAGTTCTGTGTGACTGCTTTTGAATCAAATTATAGCCTGCTGTGGCAACCACTAAGCAACCAACACATACTGGCTGTTTAGGAATGCTCCAAACTGGAGATGAGGACAAAGGTGTGTATTGTTTAGCTGGGATGAGCTGCCTGTCAGTAACCAACCAAGATGCTATAAATCTGTTCAGTTGAGAAGCTGAGAAGCACCTACCATGTATCGAAAGGATAAGAGCTCAACATAAAGCCACGATACTTGTATTTAGAAGGCAC